GGGCTGCCCGGGGTGGGTTACTGTGAAGTGAGGGGGGGGCTGCCTGGGGGGGTTACCGTGCACTGAGGGGGGGCTGCCTGGGTGGGGGTGTTTTATTGGAGTTTTGGGGGGGTTACCAGGGAGTGAAGCTTGAATGCTTCCAAACTAATGGGGGTCAAAGTGCTTTGCGCTGACTGTTGGGGGCACATGAGGATAAATATTGGCCGCGGAGCTGCTGTTAGTCTCCAGCCTCTGAGATGACCAGATACAAACCTTTTTTTAAAAAAAATCCTGAGTGTTAGGAACAGAACCAAGTCCATCGAATCCTTCCTGTGTTTCCGTATGGAAAAGATGACCTTGTGTGGGGTGTGCCTGGCTTCCTGCATCACGGGGCAGGCTGACACCTGACTGCACTGCATGGTTGGCAAAACATGATTTTTCTACTTGTAGAAATTTGCTTGCAATGGTACTGTGATTGAACACCCGGAATATGGAGAAGTGATTCAGCTGCAAGGTGACCAGCGCAAGAACATATGCCAGTTCCTCATCGAGGTATGACCTTCCCTTCTAGAACTGGTGCTCCAGAACTTAGCAGATCGTTTACTGTTTATCACCCTTACTGTAATTTCTTTATAATTGAGGAGATGCCTCCATATGCTGTGGTTTAATGAGCTGTTAGTGTTGGGTCTAGTACTTCCTCATACCAAAAGGTAGAATAAGAATCAGAAGAGGGGGGTGGAGAGGTACTCAGTAAATAAATTACCTGCATTTTTCTCAAACTGTGTATTGATGTTGTTTTTCTGGGGACTCAACCTAGTTCTTGAAGTTGTAGCTTTGTGTTTCCTTGCTGATGGGAGCTTTGGAAATTTGCCTGTGTCCCACTTGGGCAGTATCTGAATGTCAGAAGTCCACCAGGTTAGTGTTCTGTAAGGCATGGTCATGTCTCCTTTTTTTTTTTCTTCACAGATTGGTCTGGCTAAAGACGACCAGCTGAAGGTCCATGGGTTTTAAGTGCCTGTGGATCTCTGACGCTTTAAGTGAGAGGACTGCCTTGCGATGAGTAAAATCCCATTCTGTCCCTTGTCATAAGTTTAAAGCCAGCTGGATTGTGTAATGTAACCATCTGAAGTCCGCTGTTTAGTCTGGACTAGTAGTGTAACTCAGCGATGTAATAAACTGGCAAGAGCCATGCTGTCTCGTCTTGCTGTCCCTCATTTAAACCGAGGTAAATCAGGCAGTGTCCAGCCTGAAGCTAAAAATAACCAGAAGTTTGTGTTAAGTCCAGGGACTCAACATGTCTGTCCAGAGACTGTCTGAATCTCTCTTCAGTCCAGCTTCCTTTCCATTTAAATGGACTTTAATACTTGAGGTGCCTGTTGTGGTCCTACATGGCATGAGGCACCAAACATGAGCTGTGACACTGAATGGGGAAATAGCATCCTGTAGGCAGGGCCTGCTTCTGGAGGTGTCAAGGTCTGGCTGCAAACTGACTGACCAAGAAGAGTAACTGAAGAAATCTGCCTTAGGAGATACCTGGAAGAAGGGCTTCTCCAAGGCTGAATGTCTCGACCTCAGGCCAAGTCAGCTGTTGGTATCATTAAACCCAAAGATACGGGAATAGAGTGCTCAAAGGAAACATTACCTTGGGTTAAACTTTTGACAAGGGATCAATTTTGGATCATTGTAGCTAGAGCTGCAGAGCTTACATGTTACTAGTAACTGCTGCCCAATGCCCTGTGAAGCAACACATTCTTCGTTTCAGTTTTAATGTTGTATGTAATGTATTTAAACCCTTATTTAAATAAAAATGGTTTTCAAAAACATCTGTCTGGTGGATTCAATTTCCTGTTTGAGCCCGAGGGTCTCTAGTTGCTGCTGTCTAAATTTGGGGCCGTATGTACCATATGCTAGTCAAGCTAATTGGCTTGCTCTACTGGGGGTGGGAAATGACCCTTGAGAGGTGACTTATCAAAGTCCAGTTGGCTTCCTTTGTTGCATCTGCTCCCATAGTACGCCACAGCCATCAAACAACCTCCCATTGCTAGGACTGGGAGTAACAGACCTTGACACTGCACACAAGGTGGGTCTTTAATTGGACCAGCTTCTGTTCACCTTGTATTGGGGTGACACGGAGCCCCTTTCCCAGACCTGAGAGGGGCTCTTTGTAAGTGCAAAACTTTTCACCCACAGAAGTTGATCCAATAAAGGATTGTCTCACCCGCCTTGTAGTCAGACCAACAGTTAAAACAAGGCTGGGAAGTGACCCTAAGTCAGACAGGAGCTTTGAAGTAGTTCCCCTAGTGAGTAGGGGAGGGCATGTCCCTCGACAAGCAAACGAGGGCTCTGCTGTGCCGAGCCTCAGCCAGGCTGTTCAGTGATCTCACGCTAGTCAGTACAGTGTATGTGGGCCTCGGCGGGCAGGCGCCATGGCGGTCAGTACAGTGTATGTGGGCCTCGACAGGCACCATGGCAGTCAGTACAGTGTACGTGGGCCTCGGCAGGCAGGCGCCACGGCAGTCAGTACGGTGTACGTGGGCCTCGGCAGGCAGGCGCCGTGGCGGTCAGTACGGTGTACGTGGGCCTCGGCAGGCGGGCGCCGTGGCGGTCAGTACAGTGTACGTGGGCCTCGGCAGGCAGGCGCTGTGGAGATACAGCTGTAGTCGCGCATGGTTTTGGAGGAAAGAAATGCATTGAACCAATAATTGCAAGCTGCAGTATGAGCCTTGCCTTCCTGTTTCTATAGGCTGGTGTTTGTGCACCAACTTTATGCTGATTTAGCACAAAGCAATTACTTCCTCTTTCCTAATCTGTCCGCCAAAGTGGTGAACAGCGACTCGGCCAGTTGTGTTGGCCTCACTTGCTTCTTAGGATAGCGAATCCCGCCCCCTGTAAAGAATTGAGGCGGAAGCTTCCATTTAAAAGATGTTACACCCACATGAGTACCATAAAGTGTCATCCTCTTGTACAGGCAGTGCGTTGGGACTTCACACCATTCCTGCTTTAATGAGGATCTGGTCCCTCGGCAGCCTGTTTTTAGATAGCGGTCTAGTTACATGGTTCTTCCCGATTGTTAAATAGCATTACAAAATGATCTTCCTCCGCCTTTCCCCTGTGAGCAATTGATAGTCCCCAGCCATTGCTGTGCAAACATCTGGACACCCCTTCCCAGGGAGCTGCTCGGATGGGATTTCTGTGAAAAGTTAGTGAGCCCTGCGGGGGCTACTGCCTTAGCCCATACGGGATTGAGTGGGAATTTCCTCCTACCATCCCCACTGCGTTAACTCAACCTCAATACTGTAGCGAGGTCAAAATGTGGCAGCCATGTTTGTAGTGTTGAATTGTTAGTGTGGACAGAGGCCTGAGTTAATAGGCTGACCATGTAGTGTGATATGCGGTGTAACTAGCCATGTTGGTCCTTTTCCCAGACCTGCAGAGGAGCTGTGTGGCTTGAAAGCTTCTCACCAACAGAAGTCGGTCCAATAAAATAAACTTGCCCACCTTTGTTGTAATCAGCAAAAATCTTGGAGTTGGTTAGTGGTGGCTTGTGGGTGTGTCTAATACAGACCTGCTCAGGAATGCGGCTTGAAGCTTAGCTGGAGCACAATGAGTTTTTATATAAGGGTGAAAGGCTCTTTTGGTGAGTGGAGGAAGAAGTGTTCCAGGGTTAGACATCTGCCAACAGAGTGCAAAACCTAGAGAGGATTTACCATAATGGATCAGAACACTGCCAGGCTCCTGGCTCGGCCCGACAAGTGCCTCACACCACTGAGGAGGGATGTAACCTGAAAGGAGAGGGAGAAAGATGGAGGTTGTGTTGGGGGTGGTGGCAGAGTTGGGAGCTGTCTGCTTTTTGCCTGACTTTTTTGTTTGTTAAATTACAGCCATGTCTGACTGGCTTCCCTGAAACAGCCTTTGATGTCAGACCTATTTTCCCAGTGGAGCGCTCTGCCTGCTTTACAAACCTCGCCTGAGAGCTTGGCTACAGTTACACACAGCAGCAGGGAATCTCTTACAAAAGCAGGGAGTTAGAACAATGACTTTCTGTTCCTAGGGGGATGGTGTGTGCGTGGGCCAGGATTGAAAAAGGGGCAGGAGATGTTCATCATTCATCAAGGGCTGGGAGGGTCTTCACTCACTCAGCTGCACCTGTGCACAAAATCAGTGTGATGCTATAGCCACCTCTGTGCCCTGTGCTTTAATTGATGGAACAGCAGAAGGATATTCTCATGCTAAAGTGAAGAGAGGGTGGGAGCGTCTGATGCCTGCAGATGCCTGGCAGCTTTGTTGCTTGTCCTGCCTTGTGAGCTCCCCGCAATGCAGAGCTTAGCGAGCACTGAGAGGCTAAAGGCCTCCTGGAGTCGGGGAGAAGGACTCTCAGCCAAGTTTAAGTAACTTTTATGTATTAAAATAGATCTAGGACCATCACCAGTGTTAAACTGCAGCTGGGAGTGTGGTGGAATGATGAACATAGCTCTGGTTCCCTTCCCTCTGCCACTGCGAGCTGAGTCAGGAAAGCGTAGTCTGAAGAAAAGCTCGGCGTAAGCTCAATGGCTTGTCTCACCAATGGAAGTTGGTCCAAGAAAAGAGATGACCTCCCTGGGCCTCACGAGGCTACAACAGTGCGTCTTTTAACCTTCGTCCCTCAGCGGCCCTGCCTGTGGCTGGAGGAGGAGACCTGCCTAGGGGAGCTCTAAGGCTCTGCCAAGTACAAAGGGTGGGAGCTGTTTTCCTGAGGTTGGGAAATGGGATATTTCACATGGTAGAAACTTGACTGCACAAGTGTGAAATCAGGTGTCCCAGAGACCCAACCTCAAGCCGAGGTGGCCACATGAGAGTAATGTATGGCTGCTAGACGTGAACATCAGGCAAATGGCTACCTGTTACTAATAACCCCTTCCAGGGAAAAAACCTCTGAGCTAGGGCCCTTGTTAACACTGCTCCCTGATCTATAAAGAAGGCATAGAAGGTCTTTTCACCTTTAGAAATGCAGGTCTTTCATGAGGTGGAGAGGAGTGATATTAACCAGGGCTGCTTAAAACTCTGGCTCAGATCCTGGCCTTATTTAAATCAATGGAAGTTTTGCCATTGATCCCCCCTGGACCAGGTTTTCAATCTGTTTTAACCACTAATGAATTTATGGCAAGGGAAAAAAAGTCTTTGTCGGAGATTTGATGGTCTTCAGTTAATGAAAATCCCTGCGCTTCCCGAGAGAGTTGCCAGCAAATGAGAGGAGGGCTGACTTCATGTTTTAAAGTTAAAGAACCAATCAAGAAGGAAATCTCTTTCCAGGCCTCCCACTAGTCATAACTATACCAGAACGTGCATCAGCCCAATTTTAATTATTTCCAAACAAGCCCCACAACCCCCCTTCGCAGGTAAACAAAACGGGTATAGAGAGACACTGGTCTGAGTCCCGTGTGGACGCTCTTATTCCTGTATAAGGGGCTTTTTTTTGGTTTAGTTTGAACCCCTTCCCAAGTGACATTGTTTCCCCTTTAGACAAGGCCTTAGTCATTGGCTGCAGTAGTGCTGTTGGAACACAAGAGGGAGCCACTTGCACACCAGAAGAGAGTAACTGGGGGACTTGATTTTCACACCCTACGCCTGGGAGAGGGACCCGGCTGGCTGCTTTTGCCACCAAGGGCCTCTGGGAACTCACCAAACAGGGACAGTGCAGGTAGCCAAATATTTACTCACCTGCTGATGAACCAAGGGGAAATAAGGAGCACACGCCCGTGGACCACTCCTCAGATGCACCGGGACTTTCCAGTGAAAATTGACAGCGTGGGTGACAGCAGCACTTGAGTCAGATCAGTGGAAAGGCTCATTTAGCCCAGATCGGCGGCATTAGGGGCCGATAATTGCAGAACAATTTGTTTGTGTTGCCTGTAGGAAGTGCTCCAGGGAGCAAGGCATCGATTGGGGCGAAGCATTAGCACTTGATACCTTCCCGGCCACTCAGATCCTGTTTGTCCTGGGAGCCAAACGGGAAGGATTTTGTTTAAAGAATATTTGCGCTGCTCGGAGCCTGTTTTGAATGTGGCCAACTCCAGATGAGTTGGGGGGCAAGCTGAGAACCTCCCAGAATGCACCTAAGCCCATGGAAGTATCCTTGGCCACTAGCTACCCAGCGATACCTGAGTTAGCTTGGCACATCAGAGGACTTTCTTCCTGGCCTTAGCCATGGTCAGCTCACGTCTTAATGCACAGGGAGGCCAGCTTCGGTTCCCAGGTCTTTGTTTCACCCTGGAAAAGAGGCTTCATCTCCCTGTGTTCTTCAGTGAGGATAACGATCCCGCCCCACCTCAGAGGGGCCGGGTGACGTCTCTCATCTTTCCCCTATATCTTAACCCGATCCCTTTTCACAGCACCCGGCTCTGGCTGCACCCAGCATAGCAGCTGGATCTGTCTCCAGTCTTTAGTTTAAATGAGCGCCAAATCCAGCGGTTGCTGACACGCTCGGTCACACTCCAGGTTACTGTCATGCCTTGCAAACACCATGGAAATGGGGAAAGTGCTCTGAGAACTGGTACCATATCAGTCCTGGGAGCAGAGCAGAGACGTGCATCAAGACAAATGCTCCATTCAGAATATTGCCTCCCATGTCCTGAGTCTGCCTGGAGCTTTTCTCCCTAATCCCCCCTAATTAACACACACCCCCAATCCCAGGTGTCCCTGACAAGTTCCCTCAGCCCCATCCTGGTGTTTTCCCTGCCACATGGGATGTGTGTGCCGGGGCCGCTAGTCTGGGATCCTGGCTCCAGAGAGGGCTACTGCCAGAGACTGGGTCGTCAGAGAGGGAAAGTCTCTGCACAGCGTGAGACCTGCTGGGTGAAGTCCTGCTGATGGGATGTGACAGACCCTGGAGGGATGTGTGATCCAGGCCCCGTTCAGTCCCATATCCCCGGTTTGCAGAGAAGGGAGACGTGACTCTCACCCCAGGTCACTGGTAGAGCTGGGAGGAGAACTAGTTCTCCTGGGTCCCCACCCGCTGCCCTACCCTTTAAGGATTGGGGTGTCAAATCAGCTCCGACTGCAGGTCTTAGCAGCCAAGCCTCTAATAGCCGGGTGGGGAATGACAGCAGTTCATGCACGTGGGCAGGGTTGCCAGCTGCGACCACTTGGTCTGTAACGTCTCCAGAATCCCAGACAAGCCTGGTCTCTGGCCAGGCCCCTTAGAAGGAGGGAGGAGGCCCTCAAACAGGCAAAACCCGGCCAATATTTTCCTCCTCCCGTGTGCACCAGCGAAGGGCCCTGTCCCAGCAAAGTGTGTGAACGCAGCCCGTGCCCAGAGGGGATGAGCCCGGCGCTGAAGAGCAGAGCCATGTGGCCCTGGGCTGTGGGCTGAGAACGAGCCCTGGCACGCAGGCTCTTAACGGCTCCTCCAGCTGGCATCTGGTGTTGAGCTGTTTCTGGGCAGGGGCTGAAGGATGCGTCTCCGCGGAGGACGGGGGAGGAATTCAGGCTAAACAAAGGCTTGTGGCAAAAAACAAACCCCAGCTCTGGTGGCGCAGCTGTGGGTGAAATCCTGCCCCCACCGAGTTCAAAGGGGCTTTGCGCTGAGTGGCTCCAGCCTTGGCCGAGTGATTGGCCCACTCCCGCTCTCCAGCGCAGCTCAGCTTCTCCGTACGCCCACCAGGCCCGCGCCGAATGAGAGCCAGGCCCAGCTGCTCCCTGAAATCTTGGCCTGGGCCCTGACCCATGGGAGCAGCGCGCGCGCGGCAGACCAGGGTGGCCCAACAGCACGTGTGGCCGTGGGGATGCTAAAAAGCAGCCAGCTCGCCGGGCGCAGGTGAGCCCAGGGCAGCATTGCCAACGCCAGGCTGTGTCCCTGGTCGTTTCAGGGCAGCCGGGCAGCGAGCGACTCCCCGCCTCCGGTGGCAGGTGCGTCCTGCGTCTGAGCCGGGCGCCCAAACGCCACTGCCAGGTGCCTGGCAGGGCTGGCTTGGGAATGGAGTCCCGTTCCCCCCCCCCCCGTTTCACGCCCAGGCCACTGACTGGGCACAATGCAGGCCCAGCTGACACCCCGTGGGGCAATCACAGGCCATTTTCTCATGGGGCCGGTGCCCACATCCTACTGGCCCCACTTTCCCGGCAGCCTCAGCAGCGCGGCCGAGGCGTGACGGGGTCCCAGCGGCTGAGCCCCAGAACGGGCGGGAGGAAGGGAGCTGGGGAACGTGACACGCGGCCCGTGCGGTCACACACCTGCGGAGCACGCTGGGGCCCTCCCCCCAGCTGCTCCCTTGGTGATTAAGTGGCTGGGTGGCGGCTGTTGCACTGACCTGCGGGTGCTCTGCGGTTAGTGGGCTCCTGGGAACAGCTCCACGGGCTTCGCTCCGCGTCGATTCTCCAAACAGGCGCAGGGATGTACGCGTGTGTCTCACCCCATTGATTGCCAGAGTCAACAGGCCGCCGGTGACAGCCCAGGGACAGGGCCGCCTTGAGTCCTTCAAAACTACCCTTTGAAAAGGTCGCTGGGGAATTAAAAACCCATCTAGGGCTGAGCCCCTCCCCCATCAGCTCCCATGGGTGCTCTGCCTCACAGGGAGATGAGACAAAAGGGTGCCCCGCCCTGCAGCTCCTCGCCGGCTGCCCTGTGTGGTGCTGGGGCAACGCAGGGGCTCCGGCGTGGGGGGGTCACGCCCAGCGCGGACTGAAATCAGCCTGGGGCCGGTGGGTTTGTCCCTAGGGGCGAGGTCCTGCAGCTGGGACCCATCCCACATGTCACCCTAGTGCCAGCTAGCCCAGCGCCATAGCCCTCCCCGCCCCCCGCGGAGCCGGCGGGACCCACTTCTGGTGCCCCCAGACAATGCGCCTGCGGGGGGCGGGGGGGGCTGCAGTAACGAACCCACTTCGTGGTTCACAGGCAGCAAAGCGGCCAGGGACGGGCGTGAGACTGCCAGGCATGGGGGCGCTGGGCATGAAAACAAGGGGATTCCCGAGCGCCCCCCCTCCCATTGCATAACCCCCCTGTGTGTGAGCCCAGGGCACTAAGCCCAGCCCCTTCCGCTCGGCCTGCACACGCCAGCAGCCTGCCACAGGGGCCCTCAGGCCCGTGCGCCCGTCCCCACGCCACCCTGGGGCCCAAGCCAGACTGATGTGAGCTGGGCGGGGAGGGGCACAAGGGTTCTGGTGCAATGCCTGGTCCCCGCCCGTGACCTGCTGCTCCCCGCAGTGCCTGGTGGGTGGGGGGCGTCGCCTCGCCCGCTCAGGAACGCGCCAGGCACGTGCGCCGCGGTGCCCTTTCACCGGGCGGGGGCTGGAGATCGGTGCCCGCGGACGCGCTGCCTGGTGCCAGTGGCGCTCTGGGGTTGGCCACTAGGCAGCGCATGTTGGGGGGCGTGCTCCCCACTTTAGCCTTTGCCCAGGACACCTGGGTCTGTGCCGCTGAGTGGACACGTCACTGCACCCAGCCGAGCCAGGCCTGATGGCTCAGCTGAACCAGCCAGACAGGTAACCCGCTGACGGGCGTCCTGCCGCCCAACCTAAGGGCCGCGCCCTGCGCCCAGCAGACGTGGCCTGGCTCAGCTGGGCAGGATCAGGGCCCTGGGGTGGGTCCCTGTTCGGGCGGGGGGAACCCTGCACCTCTGACTGCCCCAATTCCCTGGCCCAGCACTGGGGTGCCGGGTGGCTCAGGGAGGGGCAGTTCACCTGCCCAGGTGCCCCCTTTGCCGGGGAAACTGAGGCGCACTGGCTGGGGCACTGCCTTTGCCTTTAGCTGGAAAGGCATCAGAGTGGCTCGTACCTGGGATTAGCCATCAGGCCACCTAGGGGCTTGTCTGGCTCGGCCCCCCCACCGGCTGGGTGGTCTTTGCCCCCTCGCGCTGCCTCTTTTCTCAGCCATGGCTTGGCTGCTTTGCGGGCCAGCGCTTTGGGGTGGGGGGGAGCATCCAGCACAATTTCCGCCCCCCCCCCCCCGCCAATACACATCTCACTGGGGGGGGGGGGGCGGCTTGGGCCCCACGCTAATAGACACCCCCGCTCAAGAGAGCCTGGCCGCAGCCTGCCGGGCCTTTCGGGCTGGACCAGCCGAGCTGAATGACGTCCCCCCCTCCTCCCCCCCCCCCCCCATGGAGCAGGGCATATGGCCTGTGACACACACGGTACAGCCAGAGGAGGCGGGGGTTGGGGAGCTGGAAGGCGGGGCTTCCTACCGAGGGGGGTGGAGCCTAGCCCCCTGCACCACCTTTAAAAAGCAGGGGCTTGTCACCTGGCACGGCAGAGGTGAAAATCTACCCCGAGGTGACACCTGATTCCTGCGTCTGCTCGTGGCCGCCGGACTCCAGCAGGTGAGACCGCTGGGGGGCCCTGTGCGCGATGGGGAGTGGGGGGTGCTAATGACTGAGGGGGGGGCTCACAGATCTGGGACTCACCTGCAGCTGGGCGTCTTGTGCCACCCGCCGCTGCTAGGGTCTCCTTTAGCTCACCTCCCACGAGTGCGACCCTGGTCCCTCCACCCCAGCTACCTGTCACTGGCTCCACTGTCAACTCTCCAAGGCCCTCGGTCTCCGGCCGGGTCACGGCGGGTGTGAAATCCTGCTGCTGGGGCAAAGGGGGGGGGGGGGGCGCTGAGCACAGCTCCCCTCCCCCACATGCCAGGGGCTGGTTGTGTCACACACAGTACCTGGCCCGTGCCCCTTGGCAGGGCAGAAAATGGCACCGGCATACGCTGTTAGCTGCAAAGGCCGAGACGGGCCAGGCCTGGCAGCTCGTTCCCAGGGACCAGCGCAGGCTCGGCCCCTGCAGCCCTCCCCACCCCCACGTGCCTGCTGGCCGGCTCGGCCCTGGGGGCAGCCGACGATGGCCTTGTGCCCCCTTTGCCCGGTGCTGCCCTGACCAGCCCCGTCCCTGGCACAGTGTGAGTGGTTCAGCTATGGGTACCAAACCCCCGCCCCTGTGCTAGTGTGG